CAAGTCTCTAGCGTGTGTATGTAATTTTGTAGTCGTTGTATAACTGGACCTGGAAATGCACTTTGTGCGAGGACCGCTGTGTCGTGTGTGGAAGGTATGTCGTTCACGTAAATATTAAAAAGTGTAGGTCCGAGCAAAGATCCTTGCGGGACGCCAGCCATTATGACATGGCTTGTGGAATTTATGCCAGAGACTTGAACAACAATGTGTCTACCTGTTAGGTAGGAGTTAATAATGTTTATGATGTAGCCCGGGAAGCCCAGGATGTGTAATTTGTAAGTGAGGCCATCCAGCCAAACTCGATCAAAAGCCTTGGCAATGTAGAGGAATAAACCATCAGTCGCTTTTCAAAGCTTTTGTGACAAGTAACACAATTTATACAACCTCGACATGCGCACTACTCATATCGCGAAGAAAAACAAGCTGATATTCCAGTTTTGACCATGTATGGTGCAACATGGAATGATTAGCTGCTGCAGTTGCATTGCTGATTCTAGTCTTGAAGTCAGCAATGTTTAGCACTCAACCTGGTGAACAATGACTTTAACATGGCCCCACACAAAGAAGTCCACAGGGGTTATGTCAAGTGAACACAGTAGGCACGGAATGGATCTATTCCTCCCGATCCATCTGTTGAGAAAAGCTCTGTCGTGAAGACAACGAAAACACAATGTCTGATGTGGTGGTGCATCATTTGCTGAAAACTATTTCTGGTTGACGGTCCTTCCACTGTGAACTAATTAATTAATCAATGCATCAATGTAAATTCCATTCCTAAAAATCCTGTCATGTAGTAGCTCCCAACAATTATTCTCTTTTGGTGGTTTTACTGTAATTCCTTTGTGACACGAGGACTTAAGGATTCCCCAAATTACGTGAATGTTAAGCCAAAAACAATTGTCAAGACAAAACTTTCATATAATTGTAATAACAGTATAAAACTTTACAGCACAAACTCGTACAGATGATCTGCAATAATAAAACAACATGTACTTTTAAAAGGTCTTTCTTTGTCTCTCCAATCAGTGAAGCAATCAGATTTTCTGGGGGCGAAGATTTTCGAAAGCATTTCTTTCGACGCGTAGTTGAGTGTAGCTAGTAGATCCAAAAGAGATTTGTAGACTAGGTTCCTCGCGTATAAGTGGTTAGCGTTTTGTTCGGACCAGAGAAGGCTTGGATATTTGTAACATAAAGAATGTTTTTGCGGCATGAGAGTATTTAAAATAAAACGGTGAACCAACATTTCTCTCTAGTAGCTTGGTTGGAGAAGAGAGTTTGGAGACCTTTGGACTGATCCCTCCGGGGAACTCTCCCTCAAACTGGCACGGATCTAGCCGAAGTCGTATTCTTATTTATGGAGTGCCCAAGGCTTATGCCAGCGTTTTCCAAACTGGGAGGTGCGCCTCCCTAGGGAGGCATGGACTAGTCTAAGGCGAGGCGCGAATATTAGCCAGGATTGGTGCACGTGCAGCTAATACAATACGTAACATATCGGTACATATTAACTACTATGCTGCTTGGCCGACCAGTAACTCTCTAAAAATCGAGACAGTATCGACATCAGTTTAGCTCAAGAGTGTTAGATTGTGTTCTTATTTTATTTTGACGTACCTAATTACTCTAGTTATAACATTATTTTATGGATCTAGAGTTTAAGTACCAAATGTTTATGTCACCAATGACTATTATGTACCAAATATAAGCGTATATACGCTTTGTCTATATGTAATTGTGTATGTCCTTGTTTGTATGTAATTGTACCCATGTATCTACTAGTGTTATCACATATCTTGGCACTGTATAGTTAATATACATCTATTACGCACTGAATAATCATGTACCTAATGTGTCTGTACACAAAATGTCTGTATATATGTATATGAATTTATGTTCTGTATACAAAATGTCTGTATATATGTATGAATTTATGTTCTGTATACAAAATGTCTGAATGTAATGTTTACTATGGGCATTGCGCTTTTTCCGTACACGCACGCATACTATAGCCCCTCTTAATTGCACATTATGTCGCTTGTTAGTCCTAATGATGTTAAGGACTACCTAGCGTATCACATTAGCTGTTTGTTGCCGGGACAAAACGTTTGTAGCAACAGTTCTGAGAAACGGCCTTTGGCGAAATAGGGTTACCATCTTCACTTGGCAAACAGGCTGAAAGCCAAACAAGAATCAGTTATCGCTCAGATTGGCGAAAGTGACGTTTCCTTTCAAGTGACATTCGCTTCTTCGTGTGTTGTTTTGTATCGCTCACACGCTTTTCGTTTTAAACTTTATTGTTAGTAATGGAAGATAATAGAAAGGTGATTGCTATCAAGTTAATCACTTTGATCTCCACTCTGGCACTTCATGTAACAGATAAACACACTTCTGGTTATAGCAATCAATTACATCAGTAATAGCCAAATTCTGTATACACTCTAAGAATAGTTTAAAAACATGTGCTGGATAAGTCTATTTATCACACATCGCTTATGTGTATTTTCTGTTGTCTGCATTTCAATGAAAATTTGATGGCTCACTGGAAAATTTGTGACCTGGTGAAAGCATTTTCTGACTAACTTTATGGCTCATAATTACTGTTCTGTCCATTCAAATGACAAAAATCTATATGGCTGATATTTACCTCCTCACAGCCAGCAGATACTATTCAGCAAAATGAAGATCAAATAAAGCATATGAATACATGAGCAATCAAACATGTGCGAGTTGTTTACTGTCCCATAGAACACTCGGTAATATACCTAAAACACATTAATTATACCAACTCTAGAAATTAGGTGTTCACATCATGAGTTTGTTTTATGGTTTGATTTATTGAGATTACAGCAAAGCACACTAGGGCTATCTGCCTAAGGGAAGGGATGCCTTCGGGGAGGACTTTCTAAGGGAAACTGGCTCGTATACACGTTACACATGGGGAAAACCACGAAAGCGTCCATGCAGCCAGCCCGTTCGCGGGATTCGAACCTCGGACCGAACTACCAGTGTTCAGCGACTTTACCGCTCGGCCGCTGGTGGGCTCAGTTGGTTTTATGTGATTACCGCAAAGCCTCGAGGGATAACAACAGGAGGGATCCCTTTGTAGAAGATTTTTTAAAACTGGCTCGTATACCAGTTACAAATGGGGCAAACCAAGGAAACGTCATGTAGCCAGCCCGTTCGCGGCATTCTAACCTGAGACAGAACTACCAGTGTTCAACGACGCTTCGGCCACTAGTAGGCCCGTGCACTTAATTGGAAAGTGCAATTCATTATGTAAACAGACATGAAGGTGATAATCAGTTGTGCGCTGTTTTAAGTAATCAAATGTTATAAATGCACAGCTGTTACATTTCTTATTATTTATTAGTCATGTTTTTATTACGTAGATCATACGTATGATATAATTATGAATTAACCCAATAACAAAATGTGTACACTCTTTAGTACTCAAATACTCATCAATTATTTTTCAACTGATTATTACATACCCATAATAATTTGCAAAGAACTGATAACTATAGTTGCTGCCAATTACATAATCGTTATCTGAATTAAAAGTAACTTCAAATAAACTTCTTGGCAATGTTCATTTTTGTATTCATACATACATATCTAATAAGTCATATATTTACATACAGATAGAGAGATGCGATGTTTTAGAAGTTGTTAATATATATTTATTAGTATTAATGTAATGAATAAGATTTATATTAATGAATGTATATACAAATGTTTTTCATCATGCATAATAATAAATCCATAAATTTTCAATGTTTCAATATGTAGCATTTACAATAAAAGTATAGTTTCTAATGTATTTATAATTCAAAAAGTATTTCATTAATAACATGAAAATAATAGACAAATTTAATGAGTATTCTCATTATTACATAAGCTATGCTTTTCTTTTTTATGCATCTTTTATGCTGTTTAAAATGTGTCACTGATTATGCAGTTAACAATTTAAAAGATAAGTAATTAGGAGAAAAGCCGCGCATATACAAACGGATTTTAAAAAATTATTCAACTTAAATTTAAGAAATAAAATTCTATTATATAACAGTGTTATAATACACGATCAGCACGAAATACGACAAATTTGGCGAACTTTTGGCTACGAACAATTTGTAAACAAATCCGAAATGCAAGAACGTCGTAAAATACTGTCAACTCTGAAATTTCCACGATTATATATTTAATGAATATATACACATTTAAAAATGACTCAGGCAGTTGTATTACAACAAAACAGCAATAATTAAATCGGCCTCTATTTCCACCGTCCATCACTTCACAGTGAGAGCCATCGCCATATTGAAAGTTACCCGTGATCCTTCAGAAGCTGACCTTTCGTCTGATTGGTTGAACGTTCGAGGAACACGTCTCCAGCCGGAACATTTTGGGAAAAGTTTTAAAATGTTGCTCGTAGCCGGGACACGTTCCTCCTAGCTAGACGAAACATTTCTCGGAAGCCTGCCGCTTAAAGCCGTGCTACTAGAATCTCGTTTCTCGGAATTGTCCCGGGTAAGCGCGCGCGTCTATAGATATTATAACAGCATAACGCTTGGGTATCCACTAATTACTGTGTACCTAATACACATGTTTTAATATCTTTGTACATTGGTTAATGCAGCGTTTCCCAACCTTTTTTGGCCAAGGCACACTTGTCGCGGGGAAAAAAATCACAAGGTACACCACCATTAGAAAATGTTAAAAATTAACTCTGTGTCTATATTGACTATAATAAAAAGTAATTCTCTTCAATAGGAATCAAATAAGCACAAAGAAAGTATTTATAATTACTTTATTATGAAATATTAAGTAACAGAATAGTGAAAAATTATAAAATACTTTCAGTGCGAAACCTGGGCCTGTTTGGCTGAACACAAAGCTGATATTCTGGCTGGAATCGAAGAAAGACACACACGTAGCTCTTCGTCAACAGTTCTCAGTCTCTCTCTGTATTGGTTTTCATAGCAATCATGCTTGAAAAGCTAATCTCACACAGATATGTAGTGGAAAAAAGGGAGCAATGTCAAAATAGCTTGTTTGGCCAGAAGGGGGAACTCCTTGGCAGTATCCAACCAAAACTGTCCAAAGGTTAGATCAGCAAATCTTAGCTTGCAACCACGATTTTGTCTCAGTTCAATTAGTTCCTCCTGCTCCTGTAAAGTCATTTCCTTTTCAACAACTGATGCTGAGCTATAAGGGTCCCTAACCCAGTCAAGGCATTCAGTGGAGACTGAAGAGAAATAAAATGACAACTTCTCCTCAAGAGTTTTTAAATGCTTAACTATTATCTCACACAGTGCAGCAGTGTGAACACCTTGCCATTGCATGGTGAGTGTGAACATTTCAAGATTGCCACTTTCCACGTGTTGATGCCAGAGTTGCACCTTTGAACGGAATGCATTTATTTTATCTGTACTTGTAAGCAGGTTTTCATTTCGGCCTTGCATTCGGGTGTTCAATTCATTCAGATGATGAAATATATCTGCCAGGTATGCCAGCCTTGCACACCACTCATCACTTGCAAGCTGCTTTGCGTAATCTGATCCCTCATTTGTCAGAAACACTTTAAGTTCCTCCCGCAGCTCATACACACGAACCAAGACCTTGCCACGCGACAACCACCGGACCTCCGTATGAAACAGCAAGGTTTTATGCTTTGCTCCCATCTCCTCACACAAAGCTGCAAATATGCGACTTTTCATGGGTCGTGACTTTACAATGTTTATCATGCGCACAACATCATCCAACACATGAACTAAGGCTGATGGTAAAGTCTTGGCTACGAGAGCCTCGCGGTGTAAAAAACAATGCGTAATAATTACATCTGGATTTCTTTCCTTCACTCTGCTTACAAAGCCTTTGGTGCGCCCGACCATGGCTGCAGTTCCATCGGTGCAGACACTTGTGCAGTTTTCCCACTTAAGTCCTCCTTGTTCAAGGTATTCTGATGTGACCCGAAAAATTTCTTCTCCTGTTGTTTTTTCTGGCAATACCTTGAAAAAAAAGAAGTTTTTCTCTAATTGCATCACCATCAACAAAACGCACATTAGCTAAGAGGTTGAGCATGTCCACTGATATCAGTAGACTCGTCAAGTTGCAATGCAAATTTTCTCACTGATACGGATCTTTTCCAAAACCACACTTTCGATGTCTGCAGACATGTCATTAATACGTCTGGAAATTGTGTTGTTTGAGAGAGGGACTTTGGCTATTTCCTTTGCTGCTTCAGGTCCGAGCATCTCCTCTACAATAGCTTTGCAGGCAGGAAGTATTAATGTCTCTGCCACAGTGTGCGACTTTTTTGTCTTGGCTATAAGTTCAGCAACTTGATAGCTAGCTTTAAGAGCTCTTTCATTTACCTTGTTGTTTTTCTCATAAAAGTTGCCTGTTTCTCCATGTTGTCACGCAGGCGAACAAAATAGTCCACATTCTTGTTTTGAAGCAAAGGGTGTTTCGTTTGGAGATGGCGTTTAAGTTTGCTTGGGACCATAGCACTGTTAGCTAGCTTTTCACCACACACCACGCACAGTGGAGTTGGTTTGTGTTCATCTCCAGTGAAAGTAAATCCAACTGAAATATAGCTTTCGCTATATTGCCTTGCGCCAGAGAATTTAACCATCTTTGCTTTCTTTTGACCCCACTCATACTCGGGCTCTCATCTGGCTCCAGATTTTGTTCAGAGTCCAGTTCTTTCCTTTTCAAAAACTTGTCCATCACTGCAGTATCTGTGTCTCTCTCCTCACAGCAGCCGTTGTCTCTCTGACACTGTGTGAGGCGTCTGCCTGCGTCTCATGGGGGCGGGGACACGGCGGACACTTGTCAAGATTGGCAGGGGGAGGAGTTATAGCACTGCACAGCGCCGTGACCACCTATGACACTGGCGGGGGGAGTGCCGGAAGGAATTATAGCGGGCGAACAGCACCGTGACACCCAGACCCGGCGGCACACCACGGTGCTTCAGACGGCACACTGGTGTGCCGCGGAACAGCGGTTGGGAACCGCTGATCTAGATAAAGGTGAACGTGGCGCTATACCGATTAACCGTATTGGTAGAGGGGTGGTGCCCACGTCCTCCGTCGCATGTCGTACCTAATTACTCACTCATCACAATAGTAAGTAATTTAATTAAGTTTAATTTTTTAAGAACAATAAATTAATTATCCTAATATTTTTAGAGAAATTGATAAGTTCTTGACTGGTTATAAGAAAAAAATTCTCTTATTAGAGGATATATGAAGAATCTGATGTTGGCACAAGTAGTAGGAATCAGGAAGGAAGAACTCCCAAGACAAGAAAATACGATTCGTCTTATTTATCGTTCGGATTTACAAGTGTTATTACTAATAATGTGGGAAAGCAAATGTGCTTGTTTCGTTCGAAAGTTTTGGCTGCTGATAGTGTGAGACCTAGAAAATTAAAACGCCACATTCAAACGATGCATTCTCAATGCGTTAGCAAGTCCCAGGAAAAATTCGATGAGTTCACTAAACAAAAGCAAACGTTAAAAAAAAACAGTTCATATTCCATCAAATTCGTCATTAGCATCGTACTTAGTAGTATCTTACAGAATCGCGAAGCGTAAAAAACGACACACAATAGGAGAAACATTAGTTTTCCTAGCAGCTATTGATGTGGTCAAAACAATGTTTGGCGAATCATATGCAAAACAGTTGCGACAAATACCGCTTGCTGATAACACTGTTGGCAGAAGAATCGATGATATATCTGACGATCTTTGCTATCAATTAGTTTCTCAGATTCTTCAAACTTCGCCTTACAAGTAGATGAAGCAACCGATGTAACTAAAGACGCACATTTAATTGCATATGTTCGTTATGTTGAAGAGAATAAATTGAAGATATATTATTTTGCAAACCCATTCCTGGCAAAGCCACATCCAGTGAAATTTTTAATATAATCAACAATTTTTTTTGATGAGAACCGCATATTGTGGAATAATCGCATTGGGCTTTGTACAGACGGTGTACAGTCAATGTCAGGACATAAATCTGGCCTTCAATCACTAATTAAAAGGAAAACACCAGATGTTCTCTGGACGCACTACATGCTCCACAGATCAGTTCTCGTATCAAAAAATATGAGTGAGGAACTTAACTACGTTTTTACAAAAGTAACGAAAGTTTTAAACTACATAAAATACAGTCCATTAAAAATTTAGGTTATTTGCAAAGCTGTGTGAAGATATGGAAGCTGCTTACACCTTTTGTATTATTGTGAAGTGCACTGGCTATCTCGTGCAAAACTGATTCAGAGAATATTTGAACTCAAAGAAGAAATTGCAATTTTTCTCGAAGAAAATCATAATGAGGATGCAAATATGTTTAGCGATGATAACTTTCTTATTAAACTTACCTATTTGCTGGAAAATTTTGGAAAATTGAGTGTTTTGAATAAATAGATGCAAGGGTCACAAATGCATTTATTGATTCTGAAAGATAAAGTGAAAGCATTCTATAAAAAATGGAGATATGGAAGACAAATTTGGAAAAAAAAATAGGTTAAACATGTTTCCACTTTTAAATTTATGCGCCCAAGTTAATTTAGAAGCAAACAAAAATATATTTGTTGAACACTTGGATGGTTTGTTAATTCATTTTTTTGAATTATTTTGATGATCTTGATTTTACAAAGTATGCATGGATACAGAATCCATTTATTGACGAAGAAGATGACGAATTTGAATTAAAAAGAAAACTTGATTGAACTATCTTGTGATACTTCTTTAAAACAAAAATTTCAGAATTTATCTTTGATTCAATTTTGGCTAAATATTAGGAGTGAATATAATATTTTGTCAAATAAAGCTTTAAAAGTATTGCTGCCGTTCGCAACATCTTTTTTATGCGAAGCAGATTTTCTGCATTAGCTGCAATAAAATCGAAATATCGTGCGCGTTTGTTTGTAGAAAAGGAGCTTCGTGTAGCTATCTCATCAATGACACCGAAATTTGATAAACATTGCGCACATTCATCTCATTAAGCGACAATAATAAATTATTGCTATTCGTTTTTTCTTGTGTATAAGAGTGTATCTTAATAATTTTTTTAGTACTAAAATTTTTGTGTTTGTAGTATTTTATAAAATGGAAGGGAGGCTACATATGATCAAATATTTTTAAGGCAGCCGTGATAAAATAAAGTTTGGAAACCACTGGCTTATGCCAATTGTAAACGCGATCCTGCCCTCTCAGCCACGATAAAATTCGTTTATTTATTCTGGTGTTACTAAGACAGGTGGGGTAAGTCGGAATAACAGAAAGGGGTTTTCAGATTGGTCTTTTGTGAAGAGGTTTAAATCCAAATCTAATTTTAAACACATATAGTTCTCCATCCCAACATGTACACTTCCAAGCCCGAATCTTACTTTTCGAATTTGCTTTTATTTATTTCATTTTTTGCGCAATCTTAGTGAATTTTTGATTAACAAAATCAGGGATTCGCAGCAAGTTGCTGCCACTCGAAATAAAAAAAAATATAATCCACGCGCCATTTTGCTGTCATTCGGCAAAGCTGAAAATATTTCATATTCAAAAACTAAACCTGTCTGTTATTCATTAACGAACTACGTTATTTAAAAGCAACAAAACGCGCATCTTAATAATATTTTTTAAACTTTTTAATCTGATTCATTTAAAGAAAAATTTAAAGACATATCTAAGTTATAGAATTATAATAATTTTTATCTTTAAATTCTAATATTAATTTAGATGGGTTCTAATTCTAATAGGGTTAGGTGGGCTGGGCTGCGCCCAAAGTTAGGTACAATGAGGTGCCAGGTGCCACCATAACCGTAAGTAGTTCTTGGCACGAAAGGGAGTCGTTGTGTTCCTCACCTTCCCCTATTTAATCCCAATTGGACACCTCCCGATTATTTTCTTTTTCTTTGCTTGAAGAAAAAGCTTAAAAGGACAATGGTTTTCGGACATTGCCGAACACCCAACCTTATGTAAACGAACTCAACCATATCCTACAGGCTGCCTCATTCAAAGAATGCTAAGCGCATAACCATCAAGAGTAAGTATATTGAAGAAGAGTAAGTTGTCTTCCTGCACACATGTACCGTCTTTCCTGTAAATTAATCATGAACTTAATCATTCACTGTATTTTCTCATCACAAGTTGTATTAATTTGTAAAGATCAATTACTCTTAAAATAAACCACGTAATAGAGGAGTGATTAGTGAATAATAAAATCGAATGTGTTTTCGAGTTCCAGAGTAAAATGTAACAGAATATAAAGGCATGAAAAAATTCTTAGACATTAAAAAAGTAAAAAACCAATATTAATCCGAGACAAAATCCATGTATATTTCCTTTGGAACAGAATCCTTAACAGATGGTAAAAGGTTAGCAAGAAAAAGATTCTGAGTCGATTCAAAATTCAGTGTATATTCAAAGAATACAATCGCAACAATCACAATAGGTTGAAAAGGATCACCGCTATCTTTGATATACATATTTAGGGCTCGAAAAGACAGATTTTAATATATATTCTGAATTCGTTTAGTGATTAAAAAAACATGACATAAACATTTCATTTTACATTAAAGCTAAAACTAAACACTAAATCGAAAGAAGAGAAGGGATATTACACTCCCAAACATTGTTATTACGTTATTTTAGCGTTTTGTTATCAAACGATACATATCAAATATTGGCTTCCTTTCACTCCTACGTGAATTGTATACATTATAAGCCGTGATGCTTTTATATACAAACATAAGAGAAAGAAGTTGAATAATTCAATGGTCTTGTTATTCTGTACAGCAGAAATTAAAATAATTCTTAGGAAACAGTGACTTTTCTAAAGAAAACTTGCACTTTATACAAAGAATGAAAATATTATGTATAATTAAAAGGAGTTATTTCTCTTAACTGCAGCAACGGGACCTTTCCTATCCGAATAAGAGAATTTTCCGGATGATTGAAGATATATTTCTAGAGCCTATTTGTTCACGCTTTGCGATGCCATTTGTAGAAATTGCAGCATATAAAGACGGATGGTTC